ACACACACACACACACACACACACACACACACACACACACACACACAAAGAACAAACATGAAACAGTCCAAAGAAATTATCTCAAGCAGCCATCCATTACTTATAAAGCAACTTTATTTCTCCTTTATGAGCAAATTATTTCAAACTTTGTGATTATAATGGATCGCCTTTGTAAAATCCAAACCAGATGTGATGTGGTCATCTAGCAACACAGTGAGAGGACTCAAATTATTTATCTGCACATTGTGAAAGTCACTTACACAAAGAAAGAAATCACTGGAGGAGCCCAACAGTAAAAAGTACAGTTAAACCAACAGGTGCATTCAAATAACAACCTCACCTTTCAATTGTAGTTAAGACTCCCTCAAAAAGGGAAAACATACCAAAGTGGAGCTTATGAAGAGGACCAGCACATATCATTTGAGCATATGCGAGACAAAAGAACAAAACAAAAAAAGATTTAAAAAGTAGCCCATGTACAATTATACACAAAAAATAAACAAGTGAGAATTTATTGACAGATCATGATAAAGATGCAAGAGAGCAAAAGTATACTGTGTTTGCTCTAAATACCTCCTCCCTCATACTACACCATGTTTGCCAATTGTGATCATGTTATAGGGTAGCAAAATATATATTTATTATTCCAGGCTACTGGAGTCAAGTTTCTAGATGAAGGGTCTTGATCCGTAGTCCTGTAATCACTGTTTAATTCTCAGATGCCGACAATGACAATGGCTTCAGGTCTAGCAGGAAACGCGTCATTATCCAAAGTCTTTTTTGACTTTAGCTGCACATCTGGATCTTAACATTTAAAACGCTACAGCTGTCCACAGTCTGTGATGACGAGCTTCTTTGCGGGCTTGCCTCCCTTTGTGCCCATCTCTCCCATCTGTTGCACAACATCCATGCCTTCCCGAACCCAGCCGAAAGCCACGTGTTTGAAGTCCAGGTGTTCGGCTTTCTTCAGGGTGATGAAGAATTGGGAGTTGTTGGTGTCGCGCCCCCGGTTGGCCATTGACAGAATGCCGGGGCCTGTGTGCCGCACGTCAAAGTTCTCGTCCTCAAACTTGCTGCCGTAGACGGACTTCCCTCCTGTGCCGTCGCTGTTGGTGATGTCACCGCCCTAAAAAGGACCAATGGGGAACTTGGTTAGTAATATTACACTGAAATCTGCAGTTTGTCGTCACAAATATACAACTTCTAACAAATACAATGACAGGAGAGTGTCCATTTGTCATCACTGAACAAATTCCACATCACAGTTATCAAGAAATGTGTGTGAAACTGCGGTCATGTGATCGCCGTACCTGACACATGAAGGCCGGTATGACTCGGTGGAAGATGGAGTCCCGGAATCCGAAGCCCTTCTCTCCGGTACAGAGAGCCCTGAAGTTCTCTGCTGTCTTTGGGACGATGTGGGAGAACAGCTCTACGGTGATGGTGCCCAGCGGTTGGCCGTCGGCGGTGACTTGGAGGAACACCTGGGGGTTCGTGTCTCTGGAGTGCTCCTGAACTCTGGACATCTGCGGTGAGGAGATACACGACCCATCGCCTTCGATTTGACCGGTGCGGCTCTGACACTCACAGAAGGTCTTCTTGAAGGATTCGGTTATTTCGGGGGTTTTGAACTTGGCCGCCAGCTGCTCCACTGCACTGTCGCCATCTTGAAAAACGGAGGGAAAGACAAGAGACCGTCAGGAAGAGGACAGCTACAGAGCATCAACACACATGCAATGTTCCCACTCTTTTCTGGAGATAATTTTTCAGGACAAAAATGCGTACCCGAGTAGTCGGTGGCGGTCCAGATCAGCGCGTTAGCCGAGGCGTTCATGGGCTTGAGGTCCATCGCCTGTGTGATGGTGTGGTTGGCACAAACCCTCAGCACCTGCTCTCTTCTCATCAGGACTCGGTAGAAGCGTTTGGTCGGGTGGTAGAGGATCTTGAGGTCCCCGACGCCGCGCTCCTTCCACTGGCCGAGGTCTCGGTCCCACCGGTACAGCTTGGCGCGCTCCTTGAACAGGATTTCCTCATCCTCTTCTCCAGACTTGGTCTCCACCTGAGAGAGACACACAATCACACAAGGACGAGGTGTGGCCCTGTACGTCATTCACTGAACTTCAATTTAATGTCGAAAAGAAAACACCAGCAGTCCGGCATTTTTAAAAAGGTACCTCTGGTAGTGACACGATCGGCTCAAAGTGAATGTCCTCGTTATTAGAAGCGTCCTCTTCATCGCTGCCCTCCTCGCCGCCGGTTTTTGGCGCAGAGGACAAACCTTTCCCAAATACTGTTGCTCCAGCATTCGCCCACGAGAAGTTGGAGTCTTCATAAAAGAGAAGAAATAAATATGTGGTGAAATTCAATTTTGTTGAGATGTATGTAGACAGTCAGTTGTCAAAAGACCATCTTAAGAAAATGTCAATGTTGAAGCAAACCTTGAGATCCAAATGCATATGCGTCTGTGGTTTGGGCCAGATCAGCAAAAGAGGAACCTCCCAACGAGTGGAAACCAAAGTTGTCTGTGGTGGGAGCGAAACAGCCGTCATGAAATACAGAAGTGAATGCAGTTTCTTTGACTCTGTATGCAGGATTCCAGCAGACTGTGTGTTGGACACAATAACATGAACATCTAATATAGACGCATTCAAAATCTTACTTAAGTAAAAGTACCGGTATACAAGTATAGTCAGCAAAATATATTGAACTGTAGTGATGAACAGTACGTGCTCTATACCTTCACTGGCTGTAATTGAAGGCCTAGTGCTGGACTCTGGTTCTGGGCTCTTCTTAGTCGACAGGTCAATGGGAGAGCTGCTGCCAGGAGCTTCACTCCGAGTCTCGGTCGGCTGGTCTGAGGACTGCCGCTCCGGTGCAGACGTGCTGTCTGCAGCTCCTGTGCTGCTGGATGACGGGCCAGATGTTGGTTCTACTGGAGCTACAGCGGGGCTGCTGGATGACGGGCCAGATGTTGGTTCTACTGGAGCTACAGCGGGGCTGCTGGATGACGGGCCAGATGTTGGTTCTACTGGAGCTGCAGCGGGGCTGCTGGATGACGGGCCAGATGTTGGTTCTACTGGAGCTGCAGCGGGGCTGCTGGATGACGGGCCAGATGTTGGTTCTTCTGGAGCTGCAGCAGGGCTGCTGGATGACGGGCCAGATGTTGGATCTTCTGGAACTACAGCGGGGCTGCTGGAGGCTTCTTCAGCTTGGTTTAACTGGGCCCCCTGAAACAATGTAACTACGATAAGACAGATTCTCTCTTGATGCTACATTAACAAATAAAACTCACTGGTTAAAGTGAGACACATGAGGCAAAACAGTTTTTTATGCACCAATACATTTTGAGAATTAGGGCTATTTTGCTTTTGTAACATCTTTCAGACTAGCGAAAAAAAACATCCAAGATACACATTTAGTTGTTTATTTAACTGCACTCTATTTCTAAGACTTGTGTCCGTTACCAGGTCTTGCTGCGCCTTGCGGACTTCTGTCTCAAAGTCTTCTGGCTTGTCGTGGTCCGGGTCGCTGTCTGTGGTGCTCAGGCCGCAGAAGAAGGTGGGTGGAAGCTGGAGGCTTTGGGCCTTCTCTTCCTCCTCCGGTGTCGGCTTCTTTTCCCACACCACCTGGCAGTCTGGCTCTGTATGCGGTACACACAAGGTTTAGGGCTCAAGAATGAGTGGCAGGCGAGGATAGCATTGCCTCTGATTGCCATGAATGGTGAGCGCGAGTAATTGGATAAAATGTGACAGGATATGAGATTCATACCATCACCACATGCTGCAGCCTTTCTCTCAGGAGGATCAGGGTAGAGCTTTCCATTCAAGGCGCTTACTGCTGACTCAAAGTCCTCATCTGAAAATAAAAAACCTCACGAGTCATAAGTGTAATGAAAGAGTCTTTGTATTCACCGTGTTCATGTCAACAACACATACTTTCATACTCTTTGTTTCTTAGCTTTATGTCTCACCATCAGTTGGATCGTCGCTGGTGTAGCCGGGTTCGTTCTGGTAGCAGAAGAAGGTGAGAGGCAGCAGGAGCTTCCTGGCTAAAGCGGCCTGTTCCTCAGTGGGCTCCCTGACATAGACCACCTCCACCTCCGAGTCCTCACCCGACCCTGCACTGCCTCCCGCTGCCTGAGGTGGCCCTATGACAGATACGATAGAAGAAGACCAACACAGTGAGGAGGAACTACTTAGAAGAGACTGAACTGCTTTCTTCTCTTCATAATCGTAGGCGTTAGTTCCACGCTCATGCACAGCAAAAACATGAATAGCATGCTTTTGAATTACAAATCAAAGACAAGTTTTACTAAGAGAACTTTCTGCATACACCTGTGTTTATTTTCTTACTATATTTGGGAGACTTACTGTAGGACACATGGTATTATAGCATTAAATACCGGTGCTTCTACTCTAATTAGCCTTTGCTGAGGTGCACATCACCGGCAGCAGCCAGACTAAACGGGGAATTGCATTTCATGCTGTTGCTCCACGTCCTGCACTAAAAATGGCACATGTGACGTTTGCCCAGTTCATTCCTCTCCGAGGAATCTTCTCAGCTCACCTTACTAAAGATATCCACTGGTGTCTCCTGTTGCTATGCAAAAGTTTGATTCTGGATATGGATTCATGAAATGAGAGACTGGACATTTAAATATGCGGGAGAGATGGTGTATAGACTAAATCAAACAACTATTTTAGAGCACAAACTAACAAGATTTTATGAAGAACAAACCTTATGTTTGAACTCATTGTTATGAATCATTTAACTGTACATGACCCTGATGAACTAGCAGATATACTCCTTTCTTGTGCAAGACATCTTGTGACATAGGTGCTACTCAAGTATCGTTATAATTACTAAAAAATGTTTAAACAATTAAAACTGCACCTCCACACACTGGACATGCAACACGTTAGCATGAATGTTGTTTTCCACTCCGTGCATCCGGGTTATTTCTGTCTAGTGATAAGGGCCAGCCAGGTGACAGCTGAGAAGTGTTAACACACACTGCAGGGATTAGAGTACCTGGGGGTTCAAATTGGGTTGTTGATGTGCTGGTCCAAAAAGCCATTGGGTTATCTTTGAAAAGCCTAAAATCCAGCCCTAAAGGGTGATGGGTTGTTGGGCGAAGAGAAACTAATTGTGAGGCTGGCATCATAACCATAAAACACAGCCAAAAGTGTCAAGATGAAATATATTGTTTTCTGAATAGTTTTACTAAATACGTACAGAATATCTGGATATAATGAAACAACATATTGAAACAATTTTTGTCCTCGAAAATTTGGAGACGGGTCTTGGCTGAGTCAAGATTATGCTGGAGCAATGAGGTGCAGATGAAACAAGACAATGGAGGAAAACTCAAATGAACAAAAACAATTGTTATGCTCTCTCAAAAACAAATCAGAAAATCGGACAAAAAGATTTTTTTACCTTTCTCTGGGATTTTGAATGCAGGAGAAGCCTTGCCAGGACGTCCAGGATCTTTGGCTGTGAACCCAGATGCCGAGTCCTCAGTCTCAGAGTGAAACTTAAGAGAGCCGAAAAACTTCTGAAGGCTTTGAGTGCCGAAGACAAACTTCGGGGGGGACACCACTGTCTTTGAGGGGTTGACTGGACTTGGGGACACGGCTGCACTCGGCTTACACTCGGGAGGAAGCTCTGTACGTTCCTTTGTGGTCTCCTCCAGAACAGCGATGGCTGCCTTCCCACACACAGGTGTAGCCGCCTGTGGATACGCTGCAGGGCCATCGTCTTGAGGTGTGGCAACCCCGGACATCACCGGAGTCATGAGTTCCCCCGTTTCTTGGGCAAACTTGGCCTCTTCGAATACCTGCTTGAATGTGTTCGCAGTGTCCTGCAGCTTGAACCTCACAGCCAGCTGCTCAATGTTACCCTCTGCTACTTCAGCAAAGTCCAGGGCACTCCAGACCCAGGCCTTCTCCGCTCCCTTCATGGGCTCCAGCTTCATGGCTGCGCTGATCCAGTGGTTGGCACAGATCTTAAGGACCTGGTCTCTCCTCATTATCAACCTCACTCGCTTGGTGTCGAAATTCTGCAAGAACTTGAGGTCTCCGATGCCCCTCTCCTTCCACTGGCCCAGTTCCTTGTTGTAGCGATACAGCTTGGCCCTGTGACTGAAGACCACCTGTTCATTCTCCTCCCCTGTAGAAATCTCCACCAGATCCGGCAAAGGGACCACGGGCTCAAAGTGCTGGCCGTCCCTCTCCTCGTCCTGGGTCACATCCTGCTCGTCATCAGTGCCCACTGAGGCTCTGCTCTGGTTCAGGTTCGCAGGAGACTTGGAGGGGCTGATGCCGGGTTGGAAGCTGAAGTTAAATCCACCGGTGGATTCTCCGAAGCGGAAGAGGTTCTTTCTCAGGGGGCTGCTGGCCAGAGGAGCGGGATAGACTGATGAGTCAGCAGTATCGTCTAAGGCATCTTCTCTTAGGTCGTAATTGTCCCACTCTAAGGTGGGGCCGGTGGTTTCACCGAGAGGCTTGATCACAAGGTTTGAAACATTGCTGGATGTTGCAACGTCTCCCTGTCTGTCGTCTTCTTTGATCTTTGTTCTCTCGTCGGTCAAAAAGAACTTCAAGTCTTTTAAACCAGACTTCATTTCCTCTGCCTTCTGAATGAGGAGAGCGGTTCTGCCTGAGTCAACAAGCTTGTGAGGGGTTTGTAGGGGAATGTCCAAGAGAAGTCTCTGACACTCCTCAAACTTCTCCTTAAACTCCTCAGCAAGCTCTGGGGTCTTAAACTTGGCGGCCAACTGTTCAAGTTTAGCATCCCCGTCAGCGAAGTCATTGGCCATCCACATCCACGCTTTGTCTGAGCCGGCCAGGGGCTTAAGATTCATGGTGGTGGTGATCCAGTGGTTGGCGCACACCTTCAGAACCTGCTCTCTTCTCATCAGCACCCTCAGCCTGCCGTTAGAGGTGTTTTTCAGGAATTTAAGGATTCCTACACCCCGCTCTTTCCACTGACTTGTGTCCAAGTCAAACCGGAACAGTTTGAGACGCTGAGAATAGAGAACCAGTTCATCCTCCTCCCCCGTCACCAGGTCCACCCTGTCAGGCATCTGGACCACTGGTTCAAACTGGATGTCATCGTTTTCCTCGGTTTTGTACATGTCGTCTTCTTCCAGCTCATTAGTGGCCTCTGCCCTGGTGGGGATCGTGAACAGCTGCGCACGAGCCCCAGAGAAACCTTTAAAATTGGGGTCGTCCTGGCTAATCTTGAAGTCTCCTTCAGAGGTCTCTGCCAAATCAGCAAAACTGAATGTTGAGGTTTTTCCAGAAATCAATGGATTTTCCTCTTGCTCCGTTTGGTCCACTAAGGGAGTAGACACATTTTCTTGCTCCTTGTGCTTGTCAGCTATGCTCTTCAGAAAACTGGAGGCTGACCCTGATGGAGGCATTTGATCATCAGTGGAGGGAGTTTCTTGTGCAGAGTCCTGAATGCCAAACTTGAAGCCACCAGCTGCACCGGGCAATGAGAAAGAGAAGCCTGAAGAACTTGTGGCGCTGGATCCAGACGGAGGAGCTTCAAACTTAAAAGAAGCAGCTGAGATTTTCTCTTTGTTTGGACCAAATTGAAAAGCGTTGCCAGTTTCAAAAGGCATTGTAAATCCCGTCCCAGCAGGCTGGCTTGATGAACTTTTGTTGCCAAATGTAAAGCTGAACGGGGAGGCCGAGGGAGCCGCGCTGGTTGTGCTTTTAGCGTTGGGATTTGCCGCTTGACAGGCCACACACTTATCGGCACAGGCATCGTTCCTCACCAGACAAGCGTCACAGTCCCATTCCCCGTCCTTCATGGCAAACATGGCTGCTAAAGAGGGAGTGGCATGTGGGGAATGACAGGAAATGCATTCTGCAGATGATGCATTATTTCTGACCAGGCAGGTATTGCAGTCCCACTGCCCTTTAGTTTTTGCAAAATCAGCCCCGAATCCCGACACTGCTGGCAGATTTGATGCTACTGGAACCCCCTCTGTTGGTTTAGCAGCATGGTTGGGGGTCTTACAGGCGACACAATTGTCAGCAGAGACTTCGTTTCTTACTTCGCATACATTGCAGTCCCACTGTCCGGGCTTCTTGCTAAACTGGGCAGCAAATCCAGAGCCGACAGCAGATATAGATGGTGCTTCTGCAGGTGGGGCCGTTTGTGCTGTCGCAGTTGTTTTATCTGAGTGTTTAGCAGCTTTACAGGCAACACAACTGTCTGCAGAGGCCTCGTTTCTTACTTCACACACATCACACTCCCATTGGCCTGGCTTCTTGCCAAACTGAGACCCAAAACCAGAACCCGTTTGTGCTATCGCAGTTGTTTTATCTGAGGCTTTAGGAGCTTTACAGGCAACACAACTGTCTGCAGAGGCCTCGTTTCTTACTTCACACACATCACACTCCCATTGGCCTGGCTTCTTGCCAAACTGAGACCCAAAACCAGAACCAAAAGCACTGGTTACTGCTTCAGCAGGTTTTGAGGTGCCAAATGTGAATGAGGAGGGCATAGATCCTCCAAAAGCACCAAATCCAGTAAAAGTAGAGCCAGAACTACTGGGTTTTGATGAATCTGTACCAAATTTGAAAGTGAAGGGACTGGCTTTGGTTGCACCGGCAGCCTGAATGTCTGGCTTGGATGAAGAATTGGGATTGGCACTTTGACAAGCGGCACATTGCATATCCGTGGGTTTGTTTCGTACACAGCACACAGTGCAGTCCCATTCCCCATCTTTACGGGAAAACTGGGCTGCCAGTGATTGAGAACCTTTGATGTATTCCTCTTTCTTCTCCTGTTGATTGTACTTTTTTGCTGATTTGAGAATAACTTTCTGGGCTTCCTCAAACTTGGATTTGAAAAGCGATGCCTCATCTGACGTCTTGAAGCGGATAGCCAGCTGTTCAGGCTTAGGCTCCTCATCTGCATAATCAATGGCATTCCAGACCCAGGATTTGTCAGAGCCAGCATTTGCTTTCAGTAGCATATCGGCATTGATGTAGTGGTTTGCACAGATCTTAAGCACCTGCTCCCTCCTCATTAAGAGGCGGACCTTCCCTTTGGCGCTGTGTTTTAGGATTTTAACATTGCCGATTCCCCGCTCCTTCCACTCCTTTGTGTCCGTGTCAAATCGAAACAGCTTTGCCCGGTTGCAAAACATTTCCTCCTCCTCCTCCTCACCCGTTTTGACATCTACTTTATCAGGAAGGGGTACAATGGGTTCAAAGTGAGGACCGTCTTCATCCTCGTCAACATGAGTGCTCTCATCGTCGCTCTCTGCGGCTTGTTGTTCTTCAACCCCAAACGCTGGCTTGGTGACATCCCCAAATGAAAATGGCTGATCCACATTTCCAAAGAGACTTCCAGTGCGTGTGCTCTGTGCAGAATCAGTAAAGGAGAAGCCAGGAGCACCTTTATTTCCAAAGGTGAAGATGCCCGCTTGGCCGGGGGGTTGCTCCTGGGCGGGAGGCTTCTCTGGGACGGTATCTATTTTAGAGGGGAAGTCTGACGTGAGAAGACCCAGCAGACTTTCACTGTGCTTGGACTGGGAAGGTGGGAAAGTGAAATCTCCATCGTTGGATTTAAAGTTGGAGTTGAATTTAAAAGCAGCTAAAGGTGTTGACTGGGCGACTGCTCCTGCTCCGAAACTGGGCACTTTAGGGACTTCAGCAGGCACCTGCGGGCTGAAGGAGAGCTTCCCAAAGTCCATAGGCTTCCCATCAAGGCTCTTAGGTGGCTGAACGGGGACTACCGATGGCTTGGTGAAGTAGCCAGGTTCAGGCAGGGGAGGGTTGGTGGTTTGTTGGGTTACACTCTGCCCATAATATTCTTCACTATATGGTGAAAGAAGGCTTGTGGCCGGCGATTCAAACCGAAGAGGAGCTCCAAAGACCTGTTCTTGAGGCGGGTAAATGCAGGCTGGGGCCGTCTGCAGCGGAGGCGTATGAGTGGGCTGCTGGTAGGCATACATATGCTGCTGAGGTGGCATACGGTTCATATTATACATTGGGCCCTGTGTGAAGAGAGGGAACAAATGAATCAAACGTCATTAAATAAAGTCTGAACAAGTTTATTACTGTGAACAAGTGTTAAATAGTGATAGTTACCTTAGTGGGGGTGACATTTGCTGCTGTGCGCAGGAGATACTGAGAGTTATAAGCTGGAGACTGGTTGTAGTACGCCGAGGGGGCTGTGGTGGTAACTTGATAAAAAAGATGGAAATATATATTTATGCATGTAAAAATTATTTCTATTAAATGCTTATAGACAAAAATACTGCACTATAACTGTATTCATGCTTTGGTTCTATGGAGTGTGCTGACCTGTTAGAGGGGCCCCATGGTAGGACTGGACCGGGGTAAAGGCTTCCTGGAGGCCCTCGGCCCCGTAGCTCTCACCATACATCTTGTGATGAGGGGAGCCTGCGTTCCCTGAAGAGTTGTGTCTCAGATCATGAACCTCGTTCTGAAAAAGATAGTTTAATGAGACGTGACTTACTTTTACATCTTCACAAAATATTTAATTCACACTAAAACTGGAATATGTAGAATACACACATCATACACCAAGTTATTCTTATGTTAATAATAGTGAGCAGGATTTACTATTTACCTCAACTGCAGTTAGAGTTTGGCTTTTACTTAAGACACGCCATTATTAGAGACCTGTATTAGTAATTTATCGTGTTTTCTAAAGACACTTTATCACACGTGAGTAATTTCATGTAATGCTGTAAATTCAAACACTGCCTCCATATTTATCTTTTGTTACACACCCTTTTATTTCCATCAGTGCAAAAACACGGTCATATCACACTCACACGGCAACACTGGTGTCAATCTCTAATTCATGTCTTTAAGAGAAATCTGTCTGAAATTGAGTAGAGTATTAAAAAGAAGAAGAGATGTTTAATCTCTTATCCTGACCTTGAGGGCTTCCACTTGCTGACAAAGCATCTGGAGGAGACTTTTCTGGTCCTCCACCCAATGAGGTGGTGTTTTGGGAGAAATCTGAACGACAGGAGAAAGAAGTGAAAAGTTACTCATTTGTGTTGTGGGTTGATATTTTTGTTTACGTACAGATGATATGAAGAAATCTCTGATGGTCTTCTGAATTAGCATCAGTGAGCTGAACCTACCAGGTGTCTTTTAGACGGAGATATGATGCTTTTGTTAGGAGACAGAGTGGAGAACTTTATGTGGGACACTGTGGTAGAGGTTTCTATGGGATGGGCGGGGCTGGAGTGGGCCGGTCCTCTTCGACCCTCCTTCTCCTCTTCATCCAAAGCCTCCGCACTCTCACCCAGCTGCTGGTTCACATCACTCAGGAGGTCCACGACTTCCTCCATGGAGACGGGCAGCTGGGACACAGGTGTGATAAATGGTTACACAGCTGCAGAGTTGTTCACACTAACCAGTGAAAGCAAATGGGACTTACCTTCTCAATGTCATCTGCATTGGCGTTGTAGATCTTGGACAGGTAGGTCCTGAACTTTCTCAGAAAAGTGATGCACCTGTCTTGGGTCTCCTCAACGCCGTTGCTGGCCTCCTCTGATAGCCGCTGGTAGATCTGCCAAGGAAGTGCAGCACATTATAGAAAACAGGTGTCAGAAGCACCGACATCCATATCAGAGATGAACCAATCAGATTTAAAGGAATTTGTCAGTTGGGGTGTTGTTGTAGATAGCAGCTCAGAGGATGTATATACTAAGAAGAAACAAACGAATGTAATACTGTCAGACAGAGCAGAGGTGGTTTAGTTGTATTATTAAACCGATATGTTCCCAAACTGCATGCTTATTATGCTGAAATCGCCACAATGTTTGTTATATATTCTGAAGAAGATAACTCAATAATTATTGGCAATGCACTATTCCTGCTCTAAAGGGAACTGTTGGACAACTCGCTGCCATGAATGGGAGGAGGAAGTAAACTGGTTCTTGAATCTGTAAACAAAAACCCTCTTTAGTGCACATCTATAAAAAACAATGGCTGAATAGACAGCCATTGTTTAATTCAGATGGTGAAAAAGAAGCTTATACCAGTTATGTTGTGTAGAAGCGTATTTCTTACCTGTGCCAAATGCCAGATGGATGACATGTTATTGATGGATTCTAAAGTAGCGATGGCCTCCTCTGTCTTGCCTTCAATGTCGAGGAGAACCGAAAACGCAATATTGGCTTCGTCTTCATGGCCCTTCACAGAAGACATCTGAAAAGGAACATACAATCTGTAAGCCATCCTGAAACAACATGGAACGATCTTTTGGCAAACTCTTCATTCTAAACACCCATGAGTATCAACGGTGCATATATCAGCTGTAGTGGCCTCAGTGGGAGTCAAACCCCAAACCTAAAGGGATTGAAAAATGTCACAAAAACTGTAAACCTGTGACCCAGCTTACAACCATGTATTAGGATCAAACATCACGATTTAGAAGTGGACACAAGGGGCGCCCACCCATTACCAATTCTATCCAACATTTCATATAATATAAGAAAAACCTGACGGTATTAACCTGAATATCTTTGGAGGGAAAGTGTATGAAGAGCGGCTCAAGTGGTTCTGGTATACTGCGTCTGTTCCTGATCCTTTCCAACAGTGGAAGTACAACTTTCCAGTAGTGGACACTGCGGCCGACGTACTCTTTCTGGTCGTAGTACGAGTTCACTCCATCACCCTGGGTTGATTAAGGATAAAAAAAACTTGCTGAGAATCAAGAAAAGAAGATTAGCATGACGAATCAGCTTGATGCAGGGCATAAAACATTAAAAAGGGTAAAACAAACACGTCATGCACTTTTGACACAAGTAGTTTCTACCATGAAACCAACGTACACACAGAGAACCAGCACATGTGGCTGTCCGTACATCTTAATCTTGTTCACATTCAACAGCTGAGGGGAAAGTGACAGAAAGCAGCAGGTGGAGAGGCATGTGTGTAAACAGTGTGTGAGCACATGTGTGTCTGTGGCTGTGTATGTACCGTCTGGCTGAGACACTGGGCCCAGTGGATGGCCATGGCTGGCTGGAGCCCGTGTTTCTCTCCGGCCCTCAGAGAGCTCAGTCCATGCTGCACAATCATCCGCAGTTTGGCCGACATACCAGGACTACAAGGAGACACGCCACAACAACAGTGAATACCAGGACACACAATTCGTAAAGTAAAATGAGCAAGTGCTGCGTTTTGGCCTGATTGTGTCACTTATTGGGAATAGCAGAGATCATCACCAGAATCTAATCACAGAAACACTGTTTGGGTGGACTAAACTAACTCATGTAATCATTTTAACCGCGTATATTTTTGTAAATGCACGGTTAGTTTTTAAGCTCAGTTTTACGCACGCTGTTCGTTTGTGAATGAGGCTGTAGATGGCGTCCCACCACTCCCTCTGTCTGTCAGTGGCCAAGAGGCGCAGGAGGGGGAGGGGGAGGCAGCGAGGCTCGTAGAGCTGCTGCTGTTGTTGCGGGTTCACGCCGCTGCTGATCTTCGCCGTCTCCTGGAGCTGACAGTGGCTACAGAACACCACTCCATGTACAAACACCTGGACGGAGTAAACCAGAGACGTAGAGGTTTACATTTTGGTAGAAATGGTAAATTGCAGAAGCAAAACAAAAAAAAGGTTCCACCTACCTCCAGGTCGAGCAGGCAGATGGACTCTGGCGCGTTGGTGTCCAGCTTGGAGGTTTCCAGAGTTAGCCTTGGAAACAGCTGCTGCAGCCAGTCCCGCAGGGCTGGTCTCTGGGCCAGCAGGATCCACTGTAGCCCCAACCAGCTCAGGTGTTGCAAGTCACCAGCATGCAGCAGAATGGATCCTATAGAGGAGGCATCAGAGATATTACAGTGTAGTAAAGTGGACCTGAATTGACAAGAAAAGAAATCTTCAGGCTACTTAAGTGCTCAGGCAGATTATTGGTTTCGTACCAGCGTCCCATTTGACGAGTTGAGAGAGCTCTGGAGCCATGGTGTTAATGGAATGAATGTCATCGTTGGCAATAAAGGAAGCTCCAGTGGAGGCCTGTGGTCCAAACAGGAGTTCAAACAGAGACTCCTGACCACTACGGTTCCCAAACGCCTCCACCACCTACGCAGAGAAAACATTAAAGAAAATGTTTGATATGATGCAGAAATGAGTGGTGTTAGTGTCTGCCATGGCTGTGATTGAGTGGTATGCACCTGTAGTGTCAAATCTCATTTCCACAAGTCGTATTTTAAGCATTCCGACCTTAAATTAATCCAATCAATTTATTACATTGCCCTTCAGTAAGAGCCAGAACCTTTTACTAAACTGAGCTAGAATACATGGACAGACCTCTCTGATCAAGGTGGATGAGTCAGTGCTCAGATTCAGCAACATGTGACCGGCCTGACTCTGTCGGTCGTTGGCCAGCAGCTCCAGGAGCTGTGGGGCAGACTGGTCTCTTTTGTTTACTTTAGCCTTCGGTCTCGGGACCTGGTGGACGGACAAACAAAACAAACTGTGTTCAAAGGTTTCCGTCCTTGGCTCCAAAATAAAGTCTGTTAAAGGAAACCAAGACATTTAAAGAACAGAGACTGAATAACTGGTCTTGGAAAGCAGCTGTCACGTGTTTTAAAGTATCAGTACCTGGTATGCCAGCAGGTAGCACAGTGCAGCCAGGTCGATGACAGCCCTCCAGGTCTGTTGGTGGTCCTGAGCCAGCTTCAACAGCAGCGTGGCAGCATGCAGGTAGAGGTGACCTCTCATTTCCACAAACGCCTCACAAAGATCGTCTGAGTGGCGGCCAGCAATGCTGCTCAGCGTCTGCATAGCTTGGTCAAAACTACACACACACACACACACACACAAAACAAACACACAAACAAACAGTTTTAATATGCAGCAGTTTCAGTGTTTCTCCTTCATTTATTAAGCAGCACCGTAGCCTCTCCACACAAACATAGAGCAGAGCTGAGACAGGTTTAGTGAAGGTAAAGGGGTTGTTTCCGGTTACAAATCTTATCGTGCCGACAGATTCTGTGTTTTTAGCGGAGTTGGACCAGAGAATATTCGGTTAGAACAGATCAGTGATGCTGCTTTGCCCTCATTGTTAGATTTGATTTTATGCATATGTGTACAAACAGCGTAGGACCTCAACACGACCTACCCTGTGAGGGCATCGAAGCTCGGCTGCATGCTGCTCTCAGACAGTGTGATTCTGAGCAGGCTGCAGTGGGCCAACAGCAGCTCTCTCTGGAGACGCCGACACGTCTTCTCATTACCAGAGATGCTGGGCTGAGCTAGATAATCCTGCAACAAAGGCCATTCATTTTATTCTATTGGTTTGAAGTTCTACAGGTTAGATTTAAAGATATGAAACACAAAGAACAGCATAGAAGCTTTCAAATATGTACACTTGTTTCATGCTGACCTGCAGTGTGCGCACCACCACCGTGTACCAGTCCAGGCTGTGGCTCAGCAGGCCCCTTTTCTCAGCAGCCAGGCAGTGTTTAACGGCTTCGTCCAGCCGCCCGTCCTGACAGAACAGCTGCACCAGCTTCACGTTCACATGAGCGTCAGCTGGCCTCGCCGCCAGCTCGGCCTGGAGGAGGTCGAACAACCGGTTCCAACCCGGCTGACCCTGGCGATTCAACAGGCGCTCCTACACAGAGCGGTAGTTAAAGACGAGTTAAAAGAATGGCACGAGATGACTTCAGCAGTTCACTGATGGGAGGTCTTGCTGGATTAAAGGGAACCTCACCTTCAGGTTGAAGACGGCAGGGTTTCCTGGCAGCAGCTTGGCAGCTTTCTCCACCCAGAACTCTGCTCTGCTGTCACATTCCTGCTTACTGACCAGTAACTCAGCCACCTTCAGCACCAGATCCCTTTGGGCTGGGTTCAGGTCCACTGACCGCTGCACGCACACACGCACGCGTACACACACACACACACACACACACACACACGTGTCAGTTTTTAACAAAAGCCTGCAGACATCAGATCTATCCAAAGGGCAACACTCTTCAAAAACATAGAATAACCAGTAGGTTGGCAACTTTTGTCATATATTGAGTCTAAAGCAAGAGTGTTGAAAACGACCCCTATGATAGTTAGCCCACGGACTACAGCCACCTCGCCCGGACCAGGGAAACCGGGGCACCCTCCCGGAGCCAGACCCAGGAGGGGAGCTCGTAGGCGAGCGTCTGGTGGCCGGGCCTTTGCCCAAGGGGCCCGGTCGGGCTCAGCCCGAATAAACACCGTGGAGCAGCCACCCTGTGGACCCACCACCCGCAGGGACAAGCATCGGGGTCGGGTGCTATGCAGACCGGGCGGTGGGTCGGGCGGGAGGCCCGGGCATGCCGATCGCCGGCGGCATAGACTAGCTCTAGGGACGTGGAACGTCACCTCGCTAGCGGGGAAAGAGCCGGAGCTGGTGCAGGAGGTGGAGCGATACCAGCTAGAAATAGCTGGACTCACCTCCACACACAGCCTTGGCTCTGGAACCAAGCTCCTGGAGAGGGGTTGGACTTTGTCCTTTTCCGGAGTTGCCCAGGGTGAGAGGCGCCGGGCGGGAGTGGGGATACTCACAAGCCCCCGGCTGAGCGCCGCTGTGTTGGAGTTCTCCCCGGAGAGCGAGAGGGTCACCTCCATGCGCCTACGGGTTGCTGGGAGCAAGGCTCCAGCAGTTCGGAGTATCGGCCTTCTTGGAGTCGGTGGGAGGGGTCCTGGAAAGGGCGCCGCCTACAGACTCCATAGTTCTCCTGGGGGACTTCAACGCTCACGTGGGCAATGACGGAGAAACCTGGCGGGGGGTGATTGGGAGGAACGGCTTGCCCGATCTGAACCCGAATGGTGTTTCGTTATTGGACTTCTGTGCTTGCCACGGTTTGGCCATAACGAACACTATGTTCGAACATAAGGTGGCTCATAAGTGTACCTGGTACCAGAACACCTTAGGCCGGAGATCAATGATCGACTTTGTAATCGTATCATTTGATCTGCGGCCGTATGTCTTGGACACTCAGGTGAAGAGAGGAGCAGAGCTGTCAACTGATCACCACCTGGTGGTGAGTTGGATCAGATGGCAGGGGAACCGGTTGGAAAGACCCGGCAAACCCAAACGTGTAGTGAGGGTGAACTGGGAACGTCTGGCGGAGGACCCTGTCCGGGAGGTCTTTAACTCCCACCTCCGGAAGAACTTCTCACACATCCCGAGGGAGGTTGGGGACACGGAATCCGAGTGGACCATGTTCAAAGCCTCTATTGTGGACGCGGCCGCTAGGAGCTGTGGCCGGAAGGTCATTGGTGCCTGTCGTGGTGGCAACCCGAGAACCCGGTGGTGGACACCGGAGGTGAGGGAAGCCGTCAAGCTGAAGAAGGAGACCTTCAAGGCCTGGTTGGCCCAGCGGTCTCCTGAAGCAGCTGACAGGTACCGGCAGGCCAGAAGGGCTGCAGCTGCGGTGGTCGCGAATGCTAAAACTCGGGCATGGGAGGAGTTCGGGGAGGCCATGGAGAAGGACTTTCGGTTGGCCTCAAGGAGGTTCTGGCAAACCATCCGACGGCTCAGGAAGGGAAAGCAGGGCTTACCCCAGGCTGTTCTCAGCAGGGGGGGGGGGGACTGCTAACCCGGACG